TTTAAGGTGATGCAGGATTGGCGATAGAATTTAGCCACAATGATATGAGTAGAGATAAGTAATATAGTCGATTGTTATAACAAATATACATTTGCTTCGTCGACAATCCCACCAAAGAATATGATATGGCAAAATGCATGGCCTTCCTTGAAATTCACATCTGCCCTGTGACCCAACGGCAGTCGTGGCAATCTATGTGGTCGAGGCGTTAACGTGTCAAGCTCGCATTCTGCACAGTCACGGTTCGACTCCCGCTGGGGGTGTTGATAAGACCAGTTGATGCCAAGTCGAAACGGCCGTCCACTCCAGCCGGGATGAGAACAACTCTTGTGAAACTCAATGGAAACGTTAGCTCAACTCATATGATTGTGGGAAAATTCTTCTTCTTCCAGTCCTTCATCACCTTAAATGAACTTTGGTGAATACATATCATAAATCGGTGTTTGTTGCGTAAAGTGATTTAAGGACAAGTAGTCGGATTCTCGACGGCGTAACGTGAAACCCTTACGGGGCCGGGGAAGTTCACAAAGTCTTGCCTGCCACACAGTATTTTCTCACCCCGACTGCAATTTCCACCTCGCCCCATTGTCTCTTTGGCAGACTCATTCTGTATGTACTAACAAAGTGATCATTTTCGGCATCACGGAGTGTGAATTGGGAGTACAGACTATTTGACGCGCCAGAACTAGGTTCAAAGTTTGTTGCAGTGCCTGATGAGATGATGCGTTTATGTGAAGCTGCGGTCAGCCCTGACGACAAAGTGTGGGCATCAGTCATTTTTGTCGTATGTGACTGCGCGTAATTCAAGTTTCTATTCAAGACCTCCGATACAACTCGCCAAACCAGTAAATCTGTACTTGGTCATCGTCCATTCGTGACAGCCAAAATGCAACCCTCCCGAAAATGTCAAAAATCCACACTTTCATACGAAACAGAAGGTACATCATTACGAATTTAGTAAAGGACTTTTGAGAAGCCAGCTTCTACAAATATCCTCTTCGAATGGCATAACATTGTTCTGCAACATCATGCAGCCTTGGGCCTCCATTTTAGGAAGTTGCCTCACCTCATCCGGTCCGGTTTATTGACGCACACACACACACACACACACACACATTGGTATGCATCGGGCAGGTGTTCTCCTGCCTCCTCTTGCCTTGGAACTGGAGGACAAATGTCATCTTTGCAGTTATTCGCATGATCCGAAGATGACGTCACCGTCTGCTGGCGCTGCGTTGCAAATCGATAGTCGGTGTTGCGTCGGCACGTCGAAGAGGAGATCGGGACAAACTAACCGCTCACAGTTGGCCCAACCAGCGGCTGAGGTGGCGAGATGTGCTGCTCCCGCGAGTGGGCAATCAAAGTGTGTCTTTGAGGTGAGCAAACTGGTCGGTTTGAATTTGAGAGACGGCATCGATCAGGCTGGACAATCGTTTAAAGCAGGCTTCTCTGTCCACATTCCCGGCCAGTTTTGTGTCCCCACTTTTGCTCCTCTTGATGCCTGACCAGCTTCCTTGGGGAATAACAGAACTCCACTCACGTCCGCCTGCACAAGCACACTTCATTCCTCCTCCTCCTCCTCCAAACACTTCTCTTCATCGCAGTCAGTGTCGTCATCATGATCGATTTTCGTCATCTCGCCCCCCTTTCCCATCGCGTCTCCACCTCCTCGTCTGGTCTGAAAAAGAGGTGTCTTTCTGTATTCATTTTCCGAATTAAGTTTTGTCTGTCGTGACTACCAGATGTATTCACCCAATGTCTACTTCTACCAGTGCTTCATCAGCTTCAACAAAATTGGGTGAATACATCTCATTTCTGCATTCACTTTGCCTGGCCGAGACGAGCAGGCCTTGCTGTCCGCATGCATAGGTCCCTCTCGCCCGGAAGGCTGTCTCTTTGGAGCCCATCTTGTCCGGCAGGGCTGGAGGCCGCGGGCCGACGTCTCGAGCGCAACGTCTTGCCGGTCGCCTCATGAGTAGTATGCGGGCGGGGCATGATTTAAGCCACGATCGTCGAGTCGTCCACTTGCCGCCTGTCCGCTTCGCCTGCGCCACTCGTCCCGGCCACGCCTCGACTCGCCAGCCCGTCGCGACTCCCGACAGCCTCGCAGCTGTTCGAGCCGAAGCGCCGATCGATCCGCCTCGCGGCCGAC